CCCAAACTCCCGCTGAACTCGGCAGGAGGCTGCCCGGGGCGCCGAGGCGCTCCAGCACGCTGCCTTTCCCTGCCGACCGGGGGGTGAAACTTCGGGAAATTAGTTCATGAGCGAAAAAAAACCCAACCAAAGCCACTCAGGAATGCATTAGCGCCCGGCTTTCCTCGGCGCCGGCCCGCGCTAGGCACATACCAGTGCACTGCTTCCGCCAGCACCGGCGAGGATTACTCGCTACTCTACTCGCAGCAGGCGAGGCTCGCACAGCCCGGGTTCCCCGCCGCTCCCGAGCGCCACGTCGCTGGCCCCACAAACGCGGCGGAGACGCCCGTGCCCGGCCGGGAGGGGCAAAACGCGCCGGCCCCGACCCCACCTGTGGCTGCCCGAGGCCGCCGCACCGGGCGGACCAGGCGCCCCGCGCCGCGCCCGGCCGCTCCTGCCCGCGACCCTCAGCGGGCTGCCGACACTCGCAGAGGCGGCGGAGCGGGAGCTGCCCGCGGGGAGACTCGGCCCGGCGGCCGGAGCCGTGCTCCGCAGCCCCTCCCGCCGCACCCGGGGTCCCGGGGGGCAGTGCCCCGCCGCCACCGGGCCGTCAGTCCCGCTCACCTGCCACGGCAGCGACGTCCCGGAGTGCCGCAGCCCAGAGTCCCAGCACGAGGAGCCGCGAGATCGCCATGCTCCGCTTCAGCTCCATCTCTCCCGCACCACCATCCTCCCCCCTGCTCCCGGCGCCGCGGGGGGCTCCCACCGCCCGTGCAGGCGGCGGCGGCGGCGACAGCGGCTGGGGCAGCCCCGCGTCGCCGCCCGATACCGGGCTCGCCCGGGAGGCTACGGGGACGCTCAAACTTCTGGCTCCGGCCGGGGCGAGCCTCGGGAGAACCTGCTGCGGGGCGACGGCGCGGGTCGGTGGGGTCGAGTCGGGTCGGGTCCGCTCCGGTCCGGTCGCCGCCGCCGGGCGATCTCCCCCTGCCGGCTTGGCCGCCGCGGCGCCACTCTGCGGGTCGCTCCGTCCGTCCGTCCGTCCGTCCCTGCCCAGCCGCCGCCGTCTCCTTCAGGAAATGGCGCTCTCGGGCGGTCACCGCGCGCTGTGCTCCCCCTCTGACATCACATCATGAATATGCATGAGCCGGGCGCCCACCGCCCCCGAAGCGGCGAATCACCGCGCCCGCCGCCCCCGCTCCGCCGCCCCGGGACGGGACCGGGGCTCCGAGCCCCCGGGAGGGCGGGACGGGGCGGGGCGGGGCGGGGCGGGAGCGCTGAGGGCGAGGAGGTGTGTGGGGGCGGCGCCCCCCGAGGGCCGCTCCGCCGAGCGGCCTGGTTTGCCGAGCGCCGGGAGCGGGTGACCCACATCCGCGGGAGCTGCCGGGACACCGGTCATCCCCCATCCCACATGTGGCCCCACTGGAGCCCCAGGGCACCATCCAGCCCCCCAGGGGAGGAGGGCTTGGGCCCACCACCGGGACTCAGCCCCCCAAGCCGAGGCTGAGCAGAGCCCCGCCTCATGCACACAGCACCCCCAGCCCCATCTCCCTCGGCCGGCCCTCTCCAGCTCCTTGCTTCGGCCACACTCTGCTCTCCGCTGGGCCCCTCGCTCCGGGGATGTCGGTCACCCCATCCCGGCATCTGAGCTGTGGAGGAGCACCGGCAAGGTGAAGAGATCCACCCGTGCCCTTTAAGCAGGATTGGCTCGGCCTTGACCGTTTTTCCACTAGCAGAAAAGTAGGGAGAGAGCTTAGGAGGGAGATCTCTGCTGCCGCAGGGTTAGTAGAACGGCGTGGAAAAAGTCACTTACAAACAGGTTTTTTAAAAATCTGGCGCTGCCTTTTCGTAGGAGTTACGGTGAGAATCTGGGTTGAAAGGCGCCATAAGGAGCAATATCGTTACAACACGATGCAGCTCTTAGCTCTGCCACAGCCTCCAGCGTGCAGCACTTGCCCAGCAGCTCCTGCAACACTCTGGAAACCTGGCTAAACAGAGGAATGCAGGGAAACTGCATTATCCCCAGGAGGCAGAAGGAGAAACTGAGGCACAACTAGCTCATATAATTCCATTCCAAACTCTAATCTTCACTCCCCTCCCCACCAAAGTAATTTGCATTTCTGATAGGAATTCCTAGGGGACTGGAGCAATGCCAAGAAGATTTCATTACTGGAATGGAAATGTCACTCCCTCCCCAGTGCCTCCTGCTACAATGAGGTAGCTGGGAGGAGACACTGACAAAGCCATCAATCCGAGTCCTTGTGGGAAGTCTAGTTGCACTTGGGGACAGGAAATCGCTGGGATCACTGCAGCTCTTGGGCTGAGAGGTTCTGTGCTGGTGCATGCTAAAACCTTCACGCACACTTGCTGTCACTGCTGCCTCTCCCCAGGTATCCATCCAGCTTCATGGTGTGTTTCTGCACTTAGGGCAATACCAGAAGGTAGCTACTTTTGCAGATCTTAGTTGTCTTATGAGAAAAAAAATAAAGGCCATTAGAATAATGACATGTTTCTATGGTGTTTTCCTTCTAAGGATTTCTTCCAGACCTACAATTATGGAGGCTTACGCTACACTGGTCCCATGGGCCCAGGAAGTGCTCCAGTTGTAGCATGGCACAGGCCAGATTCAGGGCTGGTGTAAGAGAGCAAAGAATTGCTGGAAGCAGCAGACCAAGGGGGATTTTCACCATCAAGGAATCTGGCTTCAGCTGTTCTGAGAAGGGCTTTGTATTAAGAGTGATAGGCAGGAAGAGCCATATGAAAATTGGAGTGAAATTCTGCACACACTGCCAGTCGAAGTGCAAACTGCAGTGGGAAAACTTACAGAGGAGTGCAGTATCACTATGCAGAAAGCAAATGAACTGGTGAATCTTAAATGTTTTTAGGGACTGGAGACAAATAAACTCTCTTGGCCTCTTGTGGCACTCAATCAGCACCACAGCTTTATTCTTCAGGCTGTAACATCAGTGACAGTGCTCACTGTTCACACACACAGGACACAGCTGTTGGCTCTCTGGATTCCATTCTTTCCTTACTTCTGCTGCAATAGTGTTTTGCCACATCTCACCAGACACGCTGGTAAGTGTAGGTATATTCCAGAAAATGCCTGAATACATATTATTATTATTATACAATAATCCAGAGGTGAATGCCCAGTGCTGGGAAACTTCTGAACATAAAGAGAAGAAAGGACAAAAGGGAGGGAGCGGAAAGTGAGAAGGCAGAAGGAAGAAAAGCATTTGCTGGACTTCCTCACCTTCCTCTACTGTTCAACTTCTTCTAACTACTGAGACCCAACAGGACATCTGAAACAGGTTATCCCAGTGAGAAAGCAAACCCACCCCCCAATTCCACATGAGAAGCCATGGCCCTAAAAGTTCAACAAAAGCTGCTGGCACATGCCACTGCTCCACTGTCAGAATAGTCAGTCTGCAACTGGTTATAGAAAATCCCTGTGTTTTGTACAGGGTGTTTTCTATAGAGCTGCCTGGTTTGCACTGGGATTCAAGAACTTTTCTGCTCCATCCTCTGAGGTGGGATTCAAAAAGCAGCACTAATCCTTCCATTTCTAGGGGGCAGATCCCTCATCCTGCATCGGGAAGCCGTGGCAATGGTAAGAACAAGGACGAGGTGGCATTCAAGGGTTGCAGGAGTACAGGAATGGCTCTGCTCCACAGTGTAGTAGACCCAGGATGGCTGTTCAAGTGTTTCCTGAATGGTAGAGCTGTTGAAGCCAGCATATTTAGTCCCAGACTAAAACAAGAGCTGCTCCCAGCTTTTTGGTCACCACCAAAGGCTACAGCAAGTGATGGGAGGAAGCTCCTTAAGTGTGAGGGCTTTTGCAGCTTAGGGATGGCTTCTCAAATTAATGCCCCAAAGCTGGCCCAGAATACAGTGACTGAGGAAGCACAAACCCTGAGGACTTTCCAAAATTTGCCAAGGACACAGCTTGAGAGCTCCTGGATAATGCAATGGCTTTTCAGGTCACTGAAAAGGACTAAACTGAGAATAAACTGCCTCCATTCTCTGCCCAACCCATCATAATGGATTGTTCATGTCAGATAATAATAGTGTTTAACGTGGCCACTTCTGAGGACCCAAATATAACTCTCTATCTTGGCATACACGTGGGACAAAACTCAAAACTGGCCATCCCAAGACCTCGGGTATGGTATTTAAAGCCATGTGTGGCTGCAGAAGTAACAGCAGCTCACAAGAAGCCTGAAACTCATCCTGCCTCTGTCTGGGCTAAGCTTACCATAACTGAGTTATGCTGCTCATTTGGGAATTCTCTTAGATACAGCTGAACTCTGTTCTATTTGAATTTATATTATTGTACCATCTCTTCCCTTCTCCTTTTTCGTCTTCCTCTCAACCACCTTCTTCAGAAACCAACTGTGTCGAAATATTTCAGCCTCTCTGTTTCAGCCTTGTCCAGCTCTTGCATCTTTCACATGTGCTGGTTTTAACTTTCCATGTGAATACAGAGAAGGACAGGGAACTCTATTAAAGACTTGCATATACTTTGTCTTTAGAATACCAGGCATGAGTCTGAGCTTTGAGTTCTGGCCTGATCCTTTCCTAGTTCCCAAACTCTCCCAGCTCTGCCTGGGTGTGGCAGGTGGCATGATGTAGACGAGGGAAACTAGGATTGGGTCACATTGGTGGATTTAAATTTGGATTTTTCTCTGAGTTTCAAGGTTATCCAGTTTGGCCCCAGCTCAATCATAATCATCATCCCAAGCCCAAACATTGTTTCTCCACATGTCTGGGATGGTTATTTTTTTTTAGAGGTGATAAACTAACACATCATATGTGTTATCTGTCTTTTGTGATAAATGCCAAGCTGTCAGAATGAAAATGTCACATAAATCACACATGAAGTATTTACATTAAAAAAGATCAACTCATAAGAATTTTAAAAACCCTTCTGATGGTGCCATCATTTGCAGTAGGTTAACCAGTTATTGCCAATGTTTCCATTTCTGGAGTTGAAATAAACACAGCACAACAAAACAGAGTCATCAAACAAAACCAAAATGTATTTAACATGGTGCAACAGTCAATGCCGTAAGAAATCACCATATAAGTATGCAGAGTTACATATAATCTACACATATCAATATGACTTTACAAATTTCATATTACGTGTTGATACACACAAAATGGACTTGGGAGGAAGCACTTGTTGCCAGCCCCTCTCAGGGCTCAGTTTCTTACCTACTTGTAAGGTAGGGTGAGACAACACTGGGTTTGAAACTGACCATACGTATTGCGATCGTATTGCATTCTCCTGTGAGTCAGAGTGGATAATAATCTCCACCAGCTATGTGACAAAAGGGTATGGAGCTTGCTGAGTATACAACCATCCCTTGTGGGATGGAGGTTTGGCAGGTGAGAGGTCTCCGGTGGGTTCTCAGTGTGGCCACAAGGTTTTTGGACCAGCCCCTGGCTCTCGGAGGGGCCAGGCCAGGGGGCAGAGCCCACAGCCCAGAGTGCAGTGGCACGCTCTGTCAGGACCAGACACCTTCTGGATTTGGAGAGGCTGGCACTAATTCTGGGAGGTGCTACACCTGCTCCAGGGGAAGCCTTGCAGGAAGAGCCTGGAGCCCCAGCAGGAGTGGCCAGTGGGGCTGGCTCCCAGCTCTGCTCTCTGCCTGGGGCTGGGGTGGCACCACATCTTGCCTGGGAAGGTGAAGTGGGCTACAGACCAAAAGCCCTCCTCAGGGCACACAGAAAGCTGAAAGGTAATGTAGGCAGTCCTACAACTGTTGTAATAGACGCTGTGGGTGGAAGAGCTTCCTAGCAGCTCCAGACTCTCTGTGGGAGGTAATACCATATTTACCTTTCCCTCTCCAGCCCCTCTCCCCTTGTCAAGCCTGTGCTGCTGCGCTCAAGTCGAAGGAATGAAGCAACCACAAACCAGGCCTACTGTCCTAAAAATAGTGGCATTAACAGGGCACTAATCTACATTATGGCTCTCGATGATTGCTATCAGGGGTGGAGCTGGACAAGGTAAACTACAGCTGGAAATGCAGCAGCGTCTCTGCTGCAGACCAGGCAGGGCAGTGTGAGTAAAGGGCATTTTGCTATATTGGTGTACATCACTGCTCCTCAAAGAAAGTCCTCAGCACTTCTCAGGGCCTTCATTTGTGGCTGTGTGAGCAGTCAGTGACATTTGTGCCATGAAAACCTTACTTTTGCCCAATGGAAGATAATTACACCCCAAAAAACATCCTTACTGGCAAAACTCCAGAAAAACAGTAAAGCAGAAGTGAGAGAACTGAAAAATAGGGAAGATGAGGGTAAAGTGAGAGGAGAAGAACATGAACAAAGGAGAGAAGGAATGACAAATGAAGAGGAAAAAATACTGGGGAAAATAAAATTTTAAAAAAAGCACCTCGTTTGGAGTTTGCAGGAGGTGACTCAGCACCTGCAGATCTGAATTCTCCTTCTGACTTGACTCTGGCTGGCTGTGTGCCTTGTGCCTTGCTCTATCTAAGGTTCTTACCTTGCAAAGCATCCAGGAGGGCAAAGGTACTGGCAAAGCACAAGCATTTAAAATCCTCCAGCAGCCACAACAACCAAATGCTGTGACTGAAATGCAAAAAAAAAAGAATGAGGGTGGGATGGGAGGAGAGGCAGGGAATCAAGGAGCAGTGGAAGGGTGAGGAGTAGAAGAGTGAGAGGAATAGGGAATGAAAGACATGGGAGACCGGGTGGAGGGGGAGAAAATCTTGGAAATGAGGTTAGGTGTTGGTCAGAGTCTCTATGTCCTCTTGCAATGGCAGGGGGAAGAGCTGAAACTCATCCTGCTGTAGAGACTGACACTTGCAGGCTCCCCACGGGTGTCACCTCTGCAATCCCTGTCCCAGAGCAGAGGAGCCAGCTAACCCTGGAGGCCTGTCACAGAGAGGTTTCTAGGCAGGAGGAACGCCTGATGTAGAAATGCCGCCTGTCCTGCCCCTCCGGCCTGTGCACGATCAGGACGGGGAAGAATCGGGCGTCGTGGTAGGTGGGGGGGTTCTCGTTGACAGCCAGCTGGCTGGAGTAGGAGCAGCACTGCTCATCCTGGCAGCCCCGCTCTGCAATGCTGCTGCTGCGGCTCCTCCAGAGGCCTGTCCTGTGGGAGCCATGGATGCGGCAGAGGGAGAAGCGGCTGGTGTTGAGGGAGAGGCGGGAGTTGCCGCTGCAGCTGTGGAAAGCGTGGCGTGAGAAGATGGAGGAGGTGCTGGAGGCGCGGTTGCAGCGTTCACAGCCGTGGGCTGTTTCTCCGTAGCGACACACCGTGTAGCTGTTGTAGGCCGGGGAGCTGGCCAGGTCCATGAGCATGGCCTCCGAGTAGCTGGGGATCAGCTGCCGGTTGGTGCAGATGTGCCACTCCAGCTCGGTGCTGTCCTGCGTGCTGTCCCGGGGCATGCGGTACCGGTACAAGGGCTCCTCCGCCGTCGTGGGCGCCGTGTACTCCAGGCCCAGCAGCTTCTCCACGTGGTAATGGACATAGGCAGTCCGGTACTCTATGAGTACCCTGAGCGGCCACGAGATCATGAGGATGGCTGCCACCCAGAAAGCATAATGGGACACGTACCACGGGAGGTGATCCGGGTCTCCGTAGGCCATCATAAGCTCTTTAAAATCCACATTTTTGAGCTGCATGCCTTCCCTCACCTCCATGTAGTCATCTAGCCCCTCGATCTCCGTGAAGAAATGAGCTCTCTGAGTCAGGTAAGAGTTCTCAGACTCAATGTTGGCAAAGCTGAAGCACTTGGTGAACCTCAGCTTGGTGGCTGTATAGCTCTCCAAGCCCAGGAGCTCTTTGGAGATGTCCTTGTATCCACAGTGGGAGTAGTCAAACTCAGCTTCAGCCACGTGTGTGTTGACCCTCTCATGGTAGACCTGTGTGGTGGTGTAGGCATCACCGTTGCGGTACCGGGTCACCTGCCGGGTGCGCCGTACGAAGTGGTAGCTGATGGCCTTCCACCAGATGCACGGAGTGGCTTGCTGCATGCGGTTGATGCACTCATACACACTGTCCACGTCTGCCTTGTACTGCAGCTCCCTCTTGACGTGGCAGTGCCAGCACTCCACCAGGTACACCACGTACAGCATGGAGAGGAAGGCCAGCGGGATATAAACGTAGCCGTCCGAGCACGGGCTGTCATGGTAGATCATAGACTTGCCCTTGAAGGAGCTGTCGAAGCTGAGCTTGGTGACTCTGGCCAGCTGACACCAGGCCACTGCACCCAGGCAGCCATACATGAGGATGGAGAGGAGGAGGCATTTCCAGTGGGACTCTCGGCACATGCAAGCGCTCAGGGACTGTTTCACGGGGCGTTGCTTCAATCACACCGTGCAAGGGGAGAGAAAGACAAAGAGAGAGCGAGGAACCCGTCAGTCACGCTGCTTTGCACAACGCACACAGTGGCTGCTTGCCATCAAGGCTGTGTCTGGCTTTTCTCTTGACTGCCTGAGAACTGGGACACCACCCTACTTAATAAAAATGTCAATATAAACAGAAACACCCTGCCAGGGACAGAGGGCTCTGGACAAAGCTCTTTCCTTACTTCCTTCTGGCTCTGGGGAGGGAAGTTGTTTGTGCAGCAGTGACACGCTGTGCCTGCACCCTGGTCAGATGGGCACCTCTGCAGGGAGCAAGACAGGTCCCCACCTCCTTCTCCCTGCCTGCTGCCAGCATCACTTACACACCCTGCCATCTTCAAAGGTCAAAGTGCTGAGCAGGTGAACAGCCAAAAGTGTGGGGCTGTGGAATTGCCCCTTTGCTTTGCAAGTGGCCCGTGCTTAAGTTCCCACATGCTGCTGTTGGGGAGGCTCAGGAGCAGTGTCTGTCGCAGAGCTGCGGCCCCACAGTTGTGCCAGCACAGGAGGACCAGCACTTCACGAAGCTAAAGCTGCTGCCTGACTCAGAGCTGACTCACATCCAACCCTGAAACCTACCAAATGATCGACACCATTTTCTTGGAGATGAGCCATCAGGAAAATGACTAGATTCAAGCACATTTCGTTGAAAAAATTGTCAAGATTACAGCACGATGCAGCACTGCTTCAGGCTGGTTACACCAGCTCTGACCTAAAATACTTGCAAGCTTCAGTGTTGAAGCTAAGGGTGTATGCGTGAATATTTAAAACAGCACACCCCCCTCTTTCAAGTCCTAAAAGTCAGGCTGGGAGCAGAGCTGGGTTCACACTCCTGTGCTCCCACTTCGCCCCCTGAGAGGGCACAATTGCAGTCCTTACCCCAGCCCTGGTGCAGTGAATCAGCTGCATTGTCATGCAATGTTCAGCTATAAAGAAAAATGCCAAATGGAGCCAAGCAGCTCCAACAGAGTCGTGTCCCTGCAAAGAGCAGTGGCAGCATGAGTTACACCACTGGCAGGCAGCTGTCTGTCTGTAGGGAGTGCATGAAGAAAGATCCCCACTGCCCTAGCAGGTAATGAGGAGGGCTGTTCACTTCCCTTTGGTTACTGCCACCCTCTGCCTCTCTCCTAACTGAGGAAATGACAGTGAGAAAGCAGATACACACTGATACTCATGCATCATCATGCCCTCTGCCGAGCCTGATTTCATGCAAAAATAGAAGCACGCTGTTACTCCTTCTCCCAAGGGCCCACCTCTAATGCATCAAACTGCTCTGTAGATGCCAACAGATGCTAGCTTCAGGAAATGTCTTCTCTTTCTTTCTCCACAGATAAATTTCTCCCACAGTAAAGCTTATCTTGGACCTACAGTGGTTAGGACTGAAGTGATCTTGAACCAGCAAGGAATTTAAGAAGCAGCATCTTGTAACTCAGGAAATAATAGCATGGTGCCACTGGAAAGAGGAGTTTGCTATCTTCTCAACAAGATGGAAATATTGGCATCTAACTTTGCAGGGCTGTAGGGTCAGATTTAATACTGCTTCGCTTTTTTTTTCCTGAGACAGAGAACCACTTCTAAGTAAGCACAGAGGGTTTTATGACTTGCTGTGAATACTGCAAAACTAAATTTCATGGGGTTTGGTTTTGATTTCATTTTTGTTTTAATCTGACACTGTGTAAGTGCAGAGTAATTTTGTTGATTTTAAGAAGTTACACCAGTATACACTTGCAGGGACTTAGGGCAGAATCTGGCCTTGATTCTTCCTTATGCATCCAGAAGGAATCTGTAAAAAATTTTATATTCTTATCCCAAAACTTTTATACATGTCAGTATAAAGAATAATTATTCTGTATTCTCTTTACAGCAGCTAAAACAAATGTAGAGAAGCTAAGTGGGTTATAAAGTACAGAGTACATAACTTCTGTAGGTAGGGCAGTAAAAAAAACTTAGTACAGGTAAGAATAAGGCTGTTTGTCTTAGCCTTTTGCATGAAACTTAGAGGAAAGCCACAAGGTAGCTTCAGGCAGTCCCTAAATCAGCTAAAAAGTAACTAGAGAAATTTTGGGAGTGAATCCCCTACGTGCAGCCCGTGTGCAGTCACAGAGAGTTTCAGCTCTTGAAACTCTCTTGTCAAATGCCCACTGCTCAGTCTCAGTGTGGTTACTGCCTCAATGTAGGCTTCTGCCCCCGCTGTACACTGGACCAGGTCAGAGCCCCAGGCTCTCCTGACTCACGGGAAACCCACTGGAAATTACTAACTTCTATTCTTTGTCTCTTCCTAACACGAAACTAGAGTTTTTAACTTCTATAGTAATGCAAAAACATAAAGTGTAATGAAGCTGTATCCTTTTTTTTTCCTCCCCTGAAGGTTTTCTGAGCTGAAGAAAACTTTAACCATTAAGATCTGTCTACTTCAGGCCCTGACACTGTGCAGAAGAACAGCAGGACAATATCCCAACACATGAATTTGTGTTCTCATTCAGGCTTCTGCAGCTACCTCTCATTTAAAATCACTTATGGTTTACAGAGTGAACAGTGCCAGCGGACCCACCAAAAAATGCCCAGCAGTCAGTTTTAATGTGAGTGCTTAAGTTGTCCATGCAGCTCCAGGAACACCATTTTCTTCTATGACTTGTTGGAAGCACTGTCAGCCCAGCCCTGGGCACAGCCAGGTGACAAGGCTGTCCCATGGCAGTCAGGGCACTATTTGCCAAAGGCACTGCAATCCCACCTTCCCTTTATCTCACTTGCTTTGACTAACAACTTCTCTGTGGTCCAACCTACAACCCACAGGGTGGCTTCTGCCCAAGGGGTGGTTGAACCAGCCCTGCTGCTTAGGGCTATCAAAAGCCATATCAGAGTGGGCAAATGCCTCCTAATGTGCTTATCTCCATGAAATGCCATCTCCCCTTTGGGGGATGAGATAGCTCTGGTTCCACCAGTCCTAGAGCAGCACCCAGCTGGGTTGGCAGTAGCTCAGAGGTTTGCAAGTCCAAGATGACATTTCTGTATGCATCCTCTGGAGGCACTTCAAAAATGGTCTTCAACCCACTGAAAGAGCTGGATCAGCCCAAAACAGATTTTCTCCACTATTCTCACAGCAGCCTGCAAAAAAGGCAGCTTCTCTCCTCCTTGGATTAGGGAAGACATGCAGCCATAGAGCCCACTGCCAGATCTGATTCACACACCTACCAGTCCAGTTCAGTGGGGCCTTCACATTCAAAACCCTTCAGTAAAAAACACAAGTTCTTTCACCTGGCTTTTCTGACCCACTGTGTTGCTCCTGCTGTTGTTCCTAAGCAAAGCCCAGTCTCTGCAGGTCCTCAGTCATAAAAAAGATCTCTCTTCCAGGGTCTATCTCCACAGCTGTCCTGCCTGTTTCAAGCTCTGACCATGTTCATCTGGCCTATAACCCCCTATTTCTCCTTCTCTGAACTGATTATCTAACACAATTATACTATTAGAAACACTATTAGAATGTTAGTAAGAAAGACATGAAATAGAACATAACTACAATAAAGGTTCAGACACTCCAAAATCTAATAGGGAAATATATCTTTTCATCTCTCTCTGCACAACAAATTCATTAATATGTTAAACCCGTGGCTCTCAGACTTTATTAATTAACATACCACCTTCTTACAAGAATTATGTTTGTGGTACTGTGTGGAATTTTCTCCTTTCCGTGCATAATGTTTCGAATTGAAACAGGGTAAGCTTGTATTTCTGGATGAGTACAATAAATGCTTAAGGAAACTAATAATTTCCATGATAACTTGGGCTAGCCAGTGAACAGGAGTTGCATTCTTTGAGGAATGCTGTGGCATCTGTGTTGTTTTCATGTGGAATAAAAGCATAACCCCTAGAAAATCTTAATAGAGAAACATAAAGAAATAAATGAAGAAAGAAAAGACAGAGAGCCTGACAGAAAGCCAGAGCCAAACAGAGAGTAGAATAGATGGAAGCTTAGTTGTCAGGCACTTTGTCTGCAAGCTAGAACTACAGGGCTTGGTTCTCTAACCCAAACCAAGAGAGATGTCCTCCCTTTCCTGCTTGTGGGGGGCTTTGCTTCCAGCATTGACCTGAGAAACACCATGACAGATTAAATGAGGCACAAGTTGCCCAGAGAAGTTGTGGATGCCCCATCATTGGAAGTGTTCAAGACCAGGTTGGACAGGCTTTGAGCAACCTGGTCTAGTGCAACATGTCCCTGCCCATGGAAGGGGGCTGGAATGACAGGAGCTTTGAAGGTCACTTCCAACACAAACTGTTCTGTGATTCTACAAACACATATTGTGAAGGGGAATGGATTTGTCAAATCAAATGTTTCACCCCAAAGGTCCCAACCAACTCTGATGACAGTACAAATGGTAAAAATCCCTGTTATGAATGGAATGCCATGAAGCAGCGCAGCTGAGCTGTCAGTATCACTGTTTATGAATTTCAAGCTGTATTAAATACACATGCTGTTAATAACATCTTGCTAGTCTCTGGCATGCTGCTGAACTGCTTTCAGAGGCCTCCCTTCTCATTGCACCTGACTGGATTGGAAACTCCTGGTAACTCTTACCGAAACTATCCATAATCACATGCCAAAATTCACTTAACTCTTTCACACTTAGAAACAGTAACCAAAAAATATTTTCCAAATTCTTTAGTAGATGTCAGCATGAATGAAGAAAATGCCATGAGTGAGAGGTGACATGAGTGGGGAGGTGTCTGTGTTGCGAACCTTGTGGAGAGTGACAAGGTTTAGGATGACATGAGTGGGGAGGGCTGTGGGTGTTTGTGTTGCGAACCTTGTGGAGAGTGACAAGGTTTAGGGACAGCCTGCCCTGAGCTGTCCCTAGCCCCAGGCAGTCAGTCAGCCTCACACCACTGCTCTGTGTTTGATTTTTCTGGCTCATCATTTCTAGAAAGCTCAGACAGAGCAAAGGCTGTGTACCACTCAGTCAGCTCCA